TGTAACTCAGGGACTGCCCCCACCCCCGCCCCCGCCCCCGCCCTCCCAGCAGGTCAGCTACCTGGCTTCACAACCAGATGGAAAGCAGTTGCAGGTGAGTCTGATCAGTGTAACTACACACTTTCAGCTGTCCGGGCAGATGCCCAAGAGAGGGCTCCGTGGCACCCAAAAATAGTTGTTTGCATTCATGATAACCTTTCATAATCCCTTTTTCCTTAACCTTTTCCAGTCCTTAACTCTGGCCTCTAAGCAAGAATATGGGAGTACATATTTACAAAAATACAATCTGTACATGTACCATTAACCATAGCCAAACACATCTTCCGTCAGATTCAGAAGAATTATGTGCGTGCGTGCATGTGTGTGTGTGACCAGGGATGGAATTTGGGAGCTTAATGCTTGCCAGGCAGGCAAGCGCTTACCCCACCGCGCTATCTCCCCAGCCCAGAAGACCATGTTTTTAATTCCTGTAATTCTAGCACTTGGGAGGCTGAGGCAGGAGGATCTCAAGTTTGAGTCCGTCCTGGCTGGGCCTGTACAGAGAAACCGTGTCTCAACAAACAAAACGAAACTAAATAGAATCTAAAGACCAAACTACAAGTCAAAGTGCAGCTGAGTGGAGGAGCAGGAGCGCTCTCCCGGTTTCCTTGGCCTCTGGCCAGCGTGGTGGGAGCTAGTGACCGACCACTGTGGTCAGGCTCGCACCATTTTGTTCCTGCACACACCATAGAGAGCTGTTCCTTGCCGTGTGCGCTTCATTTTCATGTTCACGAACTTAACATGCTAAAATGACATGCAGCTACCAGACAAACGCTTGAGTTGTTTGCAAGCATTTATGTTGCTTGCAGTTTCTGAATCGTAACAAAAGGATGGAAGAGGAGGGAAGCGGTGTGTCAGCTTGGGCTCCTCGCCGTGTGGCCACCACCTTGCGGCCGCCTGTGTCCTCCAGCCCCGGGGCGGGCCCTGGCTGGCGATTGCAGCCTCTCGCCCTGCCCTCCTCATGCTCCTTTGAGGACATGGCCATGCGCGTGTGGCGCGCTTACTCGGCTCTGCTCCAGAGCCTACTCCTTTTCTTCAAAGAGCTGATGTAAAGGAACTGTCATACCAGCGCTGAATAGCTTTTTTAATGTTTCTAATCCCTGTCTGAAAGACTGCTGTTAAGTGACTCATTAACTTACAGTGGCTCTCTACGACAGGGTATTCCGCCTGCAGCCTCCCACGTGAGTACTAACTCGGGCACGCCGGCCCTGACTGCTGCGACGGCAGCCCCGGGAAGTGCGGGCACCGCTCAGGGACCAAGTTCTGGTAACACTTCGTCATCGAGTCACAGCAAAGCCTCTAATGCTGCTGTAAGATTGGCAGAAAGCAAAGTAAGTGTTACGGTGGAAGCCAGCGCAGATAGCTCGAAGACAGACAAGGCAAGTGCAAGGTCGGCAGCCGCCGAACGCCTACGCGGTTGTGTGTGCTAACGGTGGTGAGGTGGCAGCGTTCTGATTTGATGAGTGGCAGGGGGCTTCATCATTGCTAATGTAGAATTCCAGTATTAAAGGGGTAGACCTATCTCTGGATGCCCAGAGTTACTGGGAAAACTACCTAATTTTTAAAATATTGGATCCATATGTTAGTAACTCTGTTGTAATTGTATTACTAGCAATACATGAAGAGCTCCATGTAATTTTAGTGCAATATTTTGAATTTTATACTTTTAAAGAAAATTTTTAAGTATGTGGTGAATAAATATATATTTTATTCTCATCAGAAATTACAAATTCAAGAAAAAGCAGCACAGGAGGTAAAACTGGCAATTAAGCCATTTTACCAAAACAAAGATATCACCAAGGAAGAGTATAAAGAGATTGTCCGGAAAGCAGTAGATAAAGTAAGTCGCGGCTCCGGTGCAGTTCTGCATGCGTCATTCCGAGCCATGCTTACGTGCACTTAATCAAGCCTCGCTCCTACTAGTTCTTGTCTGCTTCTCTGCCATTTAAACTGGTTCATGTAAGGTATGGAGCATGACTATGTCTGCCTCTCTTTGGGTTTTTTTTTTTTTTTCACCAAGTTCCTTTTTCTTTTTTTACAAGTAGCTAGGAATATTTATTCACAAGTGCTTGTATATTATTCACAGGTATTCTTTTTTTCCACAACAAAACAGTATTATACTTTCGCAAAGTTAAGTTTTCCATTTTGCTTTAATCCTTTTAAGCATGAAAAAGTTTTCCTGCCTTTTTTCTTAGGTTTGTCACAGTAAGAGTGGAGAAGTAAATCCTACGAAAGTGGCAAATCTGGTGAGAGCTTATGTAGACAAATACAGGCATTCCCGGAAGGGGGGCCAGAAGAAGGCTGCGCAGGAGCCGGCGGCGGCAGCGGTGGCAGCGGTGGCAGTGGCGGAGCACGGTGCAGGCTGAGGGCAGTGCCACCGGGACTGGGACCCCTGCGAGGAGCGAGGCCCCGTGCTGCACCGAGTCACGAGTAACTGTGATGGAAACTGGTTTTGATAAAGTTATTTTTTTTAATGTAGGATATGATGTTTTGTTCTAAATAAATAGTTCTGCACTGCAACTTCCTGATACCCTCACCTCAAATAAGTAAATTCAAGGGAAGGTAAAGGTTTATAGGAGTGCATTTTTAGCAGGACTGTGCAGTAGGGTGGATGCTGGAAGATGTGCAGCTTTTGGATTGGACAGTGTAACTGGTGCGTAAATGAGAGGCCTGCGTGCACTGGTTTTGGAAGAGATATATGTATAATACATTTATTATGTCAGACTAAAAAATAAAGGATGAATTTTATGGCTTTCCCCCTCTAATTATAGAAAGTTAAAATAATGTATTACCATGAGAGATATTTCTAATAAATAGAATATACCCAGTTGCAGGGTTCCTCATGTGTATTTTTAAAGCACATATTTGCATAGATAGAAAACAAATTATCACATGAGTAAAATTTAGTGTGCAAGACTTGGAGAACTCTTTGCCTGTGTATCACCAAATAAAGGTTTGCTGCTGGCTTGCTTTGTGCCTTTTTTCCCCCAGAAGCAGTTTGATTTGCTAGACTACAACTTTGGCTGTTTAAAGTCATTGACTTTAGAAGGCAAATTTGGAAAAGCGTTGACTTTGTAATAATCGTATTTTATCATGGCTTCTACCCTAAGAAATGATAAGCTATTTGTGCTAAGTGGGGGTTGGTGGTGATGTGACTGCAGGGACACCTCCGCCGGCTCAGGTGGCAGAGCTCACCTGTCCAGGCTGTTGCTGGGGAAGGCTTCCTGCACTGCAGCGTCCCCAGAAGCCCCCCGAGAGCTGTTTATTCGGTGACCATACTGTGGTCATGTTGTAAAGTTCAACAATGAAACCTGTGTTTGATAAAGGGAGAGGAGAAGGGAGTAGCAAAGTGTTGAGTAGGCTTTTTTTTGTTAAAGTACTATAATCTGTTAATTTTTATAAAAGGTAAGTTTAAGATGTTTGTAGCATTGTTATTTTAATTGGCATCTTGAAAGACAATTAGTCTTTTCCACGACAGGCTATCTTTTACTCCAGTAACAATTTAGATACCAAATAACTAGAATGGCATTCAGATAAGTGGTGGGTCCAAGCCGTAATTGGCAAGACTGCTTCTTTGAAGCTGAAGACCATCCCTTTCTTGGTTTTTTGTGCGTAATGCTTTCCTGGTGCTGGATTTGACAGAACTGTGCGAAGTGCTGGGCCTCGTGCTGGTTGTGCTTGTTAGTGAGCTCTGCTTGGTCATGATTAGTGTCCTGGAAACCTTCCGAGCAGCTTTTGGTCTTCATCTTACATTTCTGGGCATTTGTAATATGGTATTTTACTGATAAATAAAATAAATATATTTTTAAAGTTTGTGTTCTGATTATGGGGAAAGAAGCTTGAGAAGTATATTTGCTCTAATAAAGTATCAAGGCATTTTAGGTATCAGCACGCACCTCTGCAGGTGTTTCTGTTTTCATGACTGACGGGAACTTGCTCTCCAGCGCGAGTTGAAGCTGGCTCCCGCTTTGGAGTCTTGTGGCCGCTGGCTGCGCCTGGGCGGACAGATCCACAGCTCACGCTTTTCTTGCATTTCCTTTTAGTGACATTTGGAAATTGAGAGACTTTGTAAAAATTTGTACCACTCAGCTTTTGTAAAGAAGCTTTAAAGTTTTGAATAAAAGCTAGGCGGTGTGGTGAAGAGTTAAAAGCCCCGTAAGTTATTTTAATCATTCTCTAAAATAAAGAGTACGTGTTTCATCTCTGACTGGTGTAGTGGTTAGACTGCATTTAGAATTGTTAATGATGAAGGATGTTACTGGATTAGAACTTATAAATTTTAAAACTTGGAAATGTAAGAATGAGGAAATGCGTGCTTTATGGCCTTACACACATGGCTGCACCTTTGGCCATCCGGGCCCCTCGCCCACCTGGAGCACGTGGGTTTTGCGAGCACCAGCGGGTACAGAACGCCTGTGGGCTTCAGGCTTGGCTTTTCTTCAGCAGGATTGGCGCTGACCTTGGAGCCGTGGGCCTCGTCCATACTGGTCACGCTGACTGATTCTTTAGATTGTGGCAGTAACTACAATTGTGAGACTAACTGCAGTTACCCAGTTACTTTAACATCCCACGAATGGGTTGTCCTTGTTGTGTTCCGCTTACCGCCTGCGTTGCCTCCTTTCGGGGGCTGCGGCCTTTGCTGCCTGGGCCTGCGTCGGGCACGGGGCACCGGACTGAGGTGCTGTGCAAGGCGGCGCTGGGCCCTGGCCGGCTGTCCAACGTGTAGTTGTAATATTTTCTAATAAATTCTTCTGCTGAACAAAGTAGTGTCTTTAGTCTTTGTTGCTCGGATTCTGGGAAATGACTTCTGCTCTTGTCGTGACCCTTTGGAAACATGGGTGGATGTGGCTCAGCCTCTGGCACCGTAGTTGGCGTTGATGCCCAGGCTCCAGGCCAAGCTTGGAGCCAGGTGCGGACCTGTTCTAAAAAGTAGCGTTTTCTCCTGAGTAGACAGATCACCATTGTAAGGCTGGAGGGATTCCGGGACTGCCAAAAGGAGAGACGGCGCTTACCCGGCCCGCAGAGGTGCCTCAGCTTGTGCTGCTGAGCAGGTTGCACACAACTGGCCTTTGCTATATGTCGAGACTTTTCATTTTAATAAAAACATTTACAGAATAACTTACAGTTACACTCTTAAAATAATCCTCTACCGTTGGTACAAGTTTCCACGACACTGGCCCGTTGCAGCTGCGCGGGCCACTGCGTTCTGTGTCCCTTGCGGTCCGGCCCGCCAGAGCCCTGCAGCAGCGCCCTCACATTTACTGTATCCAAGGCATTAAATCTTTGGCCTTGGTGGGACTGGCGTGCAGGCCCTGATCCCAGCCCTGGGAGGCTGCGACAGAGGCTCCCTGGGAGCTCAAGGCCGGCGTGCGCTGCCCTGCCAGGTCCTGCCGCGGAGCTGTCATCCCAGTACCTGTTTCTGTGCTCTGGTCGCCTAGTTTCCATTCTCAGTCGGGTCTCCATGGCCGTGCCTGCCCTGTGCCACCCTCCAGCGGCCTTCAGGGTTGCGCAGGTTCAGTGTACTCGGATCAGCACTGGCTGATGGTCAGTTGCAGTCCCACCCATAGCATCCCACGGCTTCGCCTGGCAGCTAGCGCTGGCCTGAGGTATGGGGCTGACGAGCGCGTGGGGGCAGGGCCGAGGGTGCGGGGTTCTTTGGAAAGGGCAGGAGCACACGCGAGTCTTGGCTCACCCAGGGGTGGCGGGGCAGCGCTGTGCCGGTCCTGGTGGATACGGACCTGCCGAAAGGCTTTCCTGCTCCATGTCCTATAAAGGTGTATTTGGTACCAGACTTGCCTCTTGGATTGCTCACGGCCCTTGTGCCAGTAAAAGTGGCTAATTCACAGTGTTAACAGCAATACCTAATTTGCTAAGTGTGCTGTGACCTAACAACGCAGGATGGCCCACTTTTTTCTGAAAGACAACTTGAAAATGTGCAGTGGCTCCTAGGTTCGTGAACTTAATTCCTTCCAGGATGCTGGTAGCAAACTGAATTGAATGAAAACTGAATCAAGTTTTCCTGCACAAAGAGCGTTGAAGCTAACCATCGAATGTGATTATGTTCTTACCTAATTTGGTTTGTGACCAGAATTGTGGAAAGAATTAAGCTCATGAACCGCCTTGCCGGTGTGCTTTAAAGAGCTTTTTAAAAGCTCATAGACTCTTCAAAGGTACTTTATTCCTTTGTGGAAAAAATGGGAGGCTCGGACAGTGGCTCATTCATGATTCATATAAAGGTATTTTGTGGATATTTTAAATGCCTACAGGGGGCGATATTAGGTTGATGTTCTTTAATATTAAAATGGAGCACAGGCCACATATTATATAGCTTGTCCCCCACTGTCCCCTTTTTTTGAGACAGGGTCTCATTATGCAGCTCAGGCTGGCCTTGAGCTCACTTTGTAGCCTAGGCTGATCTCGAACTCTCAAGGAACCTCTTGCCTCAGCCTCCCCAGTGCTAGGATTACAGACTTGTGCCACCATGCCTGCCTTCCCACTTTGTTTTAAACAGAACAAAATACAAATTACCAACAAGTTCTTTCTGGTTCTAGAGGTCTCCCTCTAGCCTTGGGCATCCCATTTCATGTGGTGCAGAACAATCTTAGGACTCAAAGACACCTTCGTAAAGTTTCAGGTGTCTCTCTTGGGTGTCTGGGTGGGACCAGGGGCTGCCGTCCTCCTCCCTGCTGGCCAGCACCCACTTGGTGTGGGCTGAGGGCTCCGAAGGGCGCAGCTAAGCCTCATCCTTGGATCTGGGGCCCAGGAGAGAAGCATCCGTAGATGTGTCCCTGCATTACGGGCCTTTTTCCCGTGCACACCAGCCCTGGGACCCAGCCTCTGAGCTGGAGTTGCTCTGGGGCACAAGGGACAAAGCAGAAGTCTGTGAAACCTGCCCCATGTTAATCGAGACTGCTTTTCTCGTGGGCGCCCCTTGGACAGGAATTGAAATGCAGCCTGTCCATGGTTTGTGTGTTTAGGTCACAGGGCTCTGAAAGGGCGGTCGGAGACCCAGGCCTACCGTAAGCCCAGGGGAGGCTGTTGTGAAATCCTCTAGGTGGCCTCGTGTGTAACCCCGAAGAAACCGCCGCACCTGAGGAGCTGCAGGCAGGTCACAGCTGCTCTGCTCCAGGAATGTTTAGAGAGGTGTTAAGTCATCCGGATTGCTGCCCCTAGAAAGCGCAGCGGCACGTGTGGCTTGTCCGCAGCCCCTTCGCAGACCAGCTCTCCTTCCTTTTCGGGTTAGATCCCACAGTAACCCCGCTGGGGAGTGTCACGCTTGCCCTGGGCATGCACAGGTAGTGGTACAATCTCACTCAGAGCCCAGTCGTGGTGAGGTGTCTGCTTAATTCAAGTCTTTTACTGGTGTACTTGCCTAATGCACTTAGCCTAGCACTGTGTTTTGGAAATCATATCCAGGTAGTTTTCATTTACTGTTCTCCAAATGTTCTCGTTTGTTTGAGACAGGGTCTCACTAGACTATCCTTGAACCTGCTCGTGTAGCCCACAGTGGCCTCCAACTCATGGCGATGCTCCTGCCTCAGCCTTCCGAGTGCTGGGAGTGCAGGTGTGCACTACCATGCCCGTGACTTCCTCTTTAGCCAATAGCATACTTTCTTTTTCTCTAGCAAGCAGTAGTCTTCATTACAAATTACTAAGCGGTGGACAGCAGCGCTTCATGCTGGCCGTGTGCGGAGAATTTTCTTGGCACTACGTCCTCCCACTTCCCTACCAGCCCCGAAAGGCAGGCCCCGCTATCCCATGACTGCCCCGCTGGGTGAGTAGGCCTGTGCTGCAGCCCTCGCCCCGTCTGCCCAGCTGCTTTGCCTCAGGTTTCGGAAGGATCCAGGGCCCAGCCTTGCTCCTGCTCATGCCGCAGCTCGCGCACTCTGAGCGACAGAAGGGATGACCACATTCCGCTGCTCCTCTCCAGAGTCCTTGTTTCACTGTCAGCTGCCTGGGCAAATGC